TGCTCTGATATCCAAAGTCGCAAAAAGTTGCCGAATTTTTTATTTCACTGATTTTCCTAAAACTTATATTACTGTCAGATTCAAAAATCGGATTGGACATTTTTACTTACACTTATTTTAATTTTTTTTACATAGTAAGTTTATCTACAATCTGTGATATTTCCATATAAATAATTATATTTTAGCTCATTTGTGGCACAGTGCAGCGGAGGGTTGGAGGAACTGACCTCGCAGGCCATAGTTTGGTGACCCCTGGACTAGTATAACGGTGCTTAAATGGTTGGAAGAGCTTATGTTGGCAGCAAAGAAGAATTTAGAACATTTTAGAGGGTGAAACTCTCGACTTTCAAGAATCAACTTAAAAATAGACCTACAACCTTCACAGGAGTTTGTTTAGTAGCTGTGTATAGATCTTGGCGCAGGAGCCAAATTTGTAAAGATCGAGTCTTGTTTAATTTAGTATCATATCGCTGTATGAATTGGCTCTTTTTTGTACATTAATGGCTTACAGACCTTAGCATTTCATATAACTTTGCTTTTTCTGTAGATATTATATTTTTATACAACCGATTCCTTTATTTTAACTTGGCTGTTGTTGTCTTTTTACAAGGAACATGGAAGTGGTTTTGGTCAGGTTAGATATACGCATACAATACCAATTCTGAAGAAATTCAGCGCGTCAGAAGAATATAACATGTGATCTTGATTAGTATTTACTTATTTTAGAGCAAAACCACATTGGGCTACCTGCTGTGTCCACTGCGGGAAATCGAACACCGGATTTTAGCGTTGTAAGTCCGTAAACTTACCGCTGTACCACCGGTAGACAATAAATTAGTGTACTTGATAAACTTTTTTTGTTGCATCATATAGAAAAAAATAGAATTTGCTTGCTACATTTGGTTTAAGTGTTTTCTTGTTTTTCTTTTCCTTTGAAACATTGAATGTCACAGAAAACGCGCTTAAAATCGTATAATTAAGTTAGAAGACATATGGGTTCAGAGATGCTGACAGTAAATAGATCTTAACCATTTTTTTTCAAGTAACGAAACAAAAGTCAGCAAGAATTATCGAAGACAGACAGATTGACTTAAACCAACCAAAAAGACGAGAAAACCGATGACTCGCATAGACATCTTATAACTGACCTGATCTTTCTATTTTTGGTAATACCAGAAACCACGAGGAGGCTAATTAATCCACTTATTGTTCCAAAATGACCTTTCAACTCTAGAGTTTTTTATTTGTCATACGATTTCTCGTCGGAAAGACAATAACTACTAAAACCCGATGTTTAAGACAATAACTACTTAATAACATTTATCATATCTATATAAAACAAAAAATATGCGCATGTTATTGATTTAGCAGCAAGAATCGTACTATAATCAGTTTAATTGGTTGGAAAGAAATGATTGGTTGACCTTTTCGTTACCGAAGACTCTCTCGTTGTAGTTTGGTCAAGAAACACGAAGATAAACACTGGATCTCTACCTCCCTCCTTGGCCATTGTTTGATTGCTCGAATCTGTCCAGTGGAGCCTACGCTCTTCTTCAATATTGTTAGGTCCGATAACTAGGAAAACATATTTTTACAACATGGAGCTACTGCATGCTCGTTACGATTGTCCGTAGGTTATTGCACACGTGAGTGGTCCTTTTCCAAGTCAAACCATGTTCACGAATGTAAAACGTAGAGTATTTTTACTGTTTTTTTCTTACTGGCAAATATTTCACTTTTTTTTATCGTTCGTTATGAACATACAGCCTTGTTCTCACAAACAGTTTCATAACTAATGATAAAATATACAATATTAATTTCATTTCTACACAAATACCATTTTTAAATAAAACTAACACAATATTTAGCTACTGGTTCACCCGGTAGTAGGTGACCGTAGGTATAACAAGTTTACTAGATTTAGTTAAATTACATTTGCAACTGACTTCAGACTCAGAACCAAGTTTGGTTTGATTAGTTCTCTCGGGACGGTTCTTTTAATAAAATTTAAAATATATTATGACGTTCTCCGGAATTGAAAGATAAACGTAAATATAGAGAAACACTGAGAAAATTTAATTATAACCCTTTACAGCACTCACGACTATCCAAGTAGTGAAGACATACTTACGTAGTCCAGTGGACTCCATTCTGGAAGCGGTATTTACGGTGTCTCCAAAGAGACAATATCTTGGCATTTTAAGTCCAACTACACCTGCAGCACAAGGACCTGTAATATTGATCAAATATTTTCATGCAAGAGCTTGACTCTATGGGGTTTTGTTACTGTTATTGAAAACAACACAAGCTGATCTTTTTACCTCCATTTTTTTTTTACATTGTCGCTGGAAATCTAGCAATGAAAATATGTTGTTGATAAGCCTCCTGAAACAGTACTGGCAAATCCACCGACGAAAGCCTGGTGCTGGCTTGTACAACAAAATATTGATAATCCAGTGAAGAAAGTTTCTTTGTAATAAGCTACATAGTCCCATACCCAAATTTACCAATTGATGGGTATTGTATTAATGATTTTTATGTATCCTAAGGAGACTTTCAATTTAGAATATTCTTACTGACCTGTGTGGATTCCTATCCTTAGCTTTAGTTGTTCATTTGTTCTATGACGTATGCTGAATGATGTCACAGCATTTAGCAGGGCTATGGACATCCGGGCTATTTCACGTGCGTGGAAGTTTCCATTCCGAACAGGCAACCCTGATACAACCATGTAGGCATCTCCTATTGTTTCAACCTGGATGTTTTCGAGAATTATAATAACTAAAATACATATAACGTTTTATTAGCGATTACTTCGCTTCCTATACCCGTCTGTCTTTACGTATTAAATTAATTTTCTGAAGTTATTAACAAGAAAGTTTATCATGGCAGAAGCCTAACTATACTAAATAATGTGTCTTAGGCCTAACTATTAAATAGAATGTATCTTAGGCCTAACTATAACATAGAATGTACTTTAGGCTTAACTATAACATAGAATGTACTTTAGGCTTAACTATAGTATAGAATGTATTTTAGACTTAATATAGTATGTATCTTAGGCCTAACTATAGTACATACTGTATCTTAGGCCTAACTATAACATAGAATTTATCTTAGGCCTAATTTTAGCACAGAATGTACCTTAAGCTTAACTATAGTAGAGAAGGTATTTTAGGCTTAATATAATATGTATCATAGACTAACATAAAACTAAACATTACTTGCCTTATATACGTCGAAGTTCTCAATTATGGAATCAAAACAAGTGTACAAATCGTTCAGAAGGTCTACAACCTAGAATTGTCATAAAAATAAGATAAAACATATATATATTCATATATATTATTCTACATTTGGTATTTTATTATATTTACAGTGAGACGTATTTTGTTACTTTAGGCTTACCATAAGTAGTTAAAGATCAAACATTAATATCCCACGTAATCAAAAATTTACTTATATATTTCTTAATTTGCGGCATTCTTAAATTATGTGACACAAGAAAAGCATCAAATGAAATTCCATCAAGACAATAATGAAAAATGAACCAAGAAGTTTCTAAGAATATACATATGGTTTTCTAGACTGTTTGCAATAGTATCTAATAATATTTTTAAGGGCACAATGTTTGTATTTTAAGGTTTATAGTCTTTACTGGAGTTTCGGTATCATATTATGAAGTCAATTCAATGGCAGTTCTAGGAAAGTTTGGGCTATTGGCAAGAATTCCACAGCAAGCTCAATTTTACAGAGCTACTTGTCCTACAAGCACCTGATTTCCGAACGTTAATAAAATTTACACCACCACATGGTGGTAGAAATAATTATTACTCATGGTCCATGGTGATTGGCTAGCACGAGTCTTTGGGTGGATCCTTCCCCCAATCATTGGTGGTTCGCATAGGCCTAGAGCCACCAATGGCTAAATCTTGGTTTGTTTGGTTTGATTTGAATTTCGCGCAAAGCTACACGAGGATTATCTGCTTCAGCTGTCCCTTATTTAGCAGTAATAGACTAGAGGTAAAGCAGCTAGCCAATACCGCCCACTACCAACTCTTGGGCTGCTATTTTATTAACGTATAGTGGGATTGATCGTCACATTATAATGCCTCCACGACTGAAAGGGCGAGCATGTTTGGTATGACGGCGGATTCGAACCCGTGACCTGCAGATTGTGAGTCGAGCACCCTAGCTACCAGGCCGGCTAAATCTAGAAAACTTGGATAACGTACGGTACCCCACCCTGTATCCAAGAAAGGGGGGTTTCACTGGAGCCTTAACTTACGAAAAGTTTTTCGTCCCTCCGCATAAGGAAAAAAAAGTGCTAAGCACACTGAGAATTACTTTACGAAGTTAAATTACTCTATAACATGTAAACGATGCATTGTGTTAACTGTATTTACTATATTTTGTTTGTTTAGAAGTTAAGCGCAAAGCTACACAATGGGCTATCTATGCTCTGCCCACCACGGGTGTCGAAACCCGGTTTCTAGCGTTGTAAGTCCGAAGACATGCCGCTGTGCCACTGGGGGCGCTACTATATTTATTATTTTTTCCTTTTAAGTTACGTAGAACAATTTTTTTTATAATTATATCAATAAAATAGACCAATTTTATGTTTTTAATTATAATAAATACCACTACTACACACAAAACTGTTCCTTCAAATTAATTTGTACACAAGTTTTTATAATTTGCTATTTATTTGTATCACTATAACAAATATTTTTTTATATAGAATACAATTTATAGAATTTTAAAATCGAGTTAAATCAAACCATGATTTTCTTAAAATAACATGATTTCTTGCCCTCAAGTTACTTCCTCTGGTGAAGGGCTTGGGACAGCGAGACCATACACAGTATTTTATATACTTTCAGTTTATTTTTGGCTTTTATCTAGTCACGGTTTATTTTTTCAGAACTTTATGTATGTATGTTTTCCAATTGATGTTAGTGTTTAATTGTTTTGTTTGTTTGGTTTTTTAGCCGCGGCATAGCGGCTCATAGAATGGCTCTGAGTTTTTTTTTTCTGTTCTGTTTTTTCAAGTACATACTTTCAGCTCATAGCGCCATCTTTTGACCGATTTGAGATCTAATTACAGCTGGGGTTATTGAGGATTTACTTCGCCATTCTCTTTTTTGGAGATAACAGATTTCCAGAGTTAAAACTGGAACTTTTTTTCTGTGCGGAGTAAAAGTATTATTTCAGGAATAGACTCGACTTTTATAGCTAAATTGTACGAATAAATAAATGTATTATTTCAGAAGACTTATCTCTTTAAGATACATTTTTATATTGATATATTCTTGTATTGATAAGTGTAAAATAAGATTCCGTAGTTTTAACACCTAGAAACAAAGATGATTGAAAAATAAAAGATGACGAAATATTTGGGAGGTAACCCAATGTTTGTTGGTCTTCTATCTGGATGACAAATGAAGAGCAGATCACGAGCTTAGAAAACCATTTATCACGTCACGGAGTTTTTATAATATCCACCACCGTTCTTGTTTAAATAATGTGGGTGATAACTCTTAAAACACCGCGTGGGTGAATATCATACAAATGTGAGGAGGCCGTGCTTTAGAGAATAATACCGGCTATTCAGCTAAACAGCATTGAAACCAGATGTTTCTTAACTTCAACTTTTTCAGGTGGGCGAATTCATAACTTACCTGCATTGGAGTGCTGTCGGCAGAAAGAACTGTAAAACCCACAATATCGCTAAAGTATATAGTGACGTTATCGAAAGCCTCAGCAGTCACGGACTCTCCGCGGATCAGTTGACTGGCCACAGACCTGCGAGTATAAAAACAATGAACATTTTATAAATAACATTTAGTTACTTAAATAGAACGTTGACATGAAATAACAACGGGTATTAAGACAGTATATGCTATGATTAAAATAACGTTTGATATACACAAACAATCCATGTTTTAAACAATGAAGTTATATAACAGTCTTTTGTATGTTTTAAACAAGGAGTTATAAGACAGTACTTGGTATGTTTTAAACAAGGGGTTACAAGACAGTCCTTGGTATGTTTTAAACAAGGGTTACAAGACAGTCCTTGGTACGTTTTAAACAAGTAGTTATAAGACAGTCTT